CCCCAAAACCCCAAAACCCCCCAACTATATTAATTTAATTCTAAGGTAAATATCATTTAATTAATAAATAAAAGCTCAAATTATTATGTCCTTATAACTCATTTATCTACTTGGTACTTAATATATATAGAATTCTATTATAAATATATAAAAAGCAATAAAGCCTATGTAAAGAAGCAATAATTTCAGATTGATAATCATATTTATTGCAATTTTGGCCAAACACTAATTATATGCGTAATATATATGACTACTTAATCATTATTCATAGAGGTGCCTAACGTGAACTACCAGAATAAGGAAAAATATGCTATAGCTAATTCTAGCTACCTTAAACAATTGGAAATTTCAGTAATACCTTTTTTAGCTACATAAATGCAGTTGATTTTGATGATGACCTGGACTATATAGCATTTGGTGGAATATTGAATGGCCATCCAGCCATAGGACTTTACGTACTTTAAACTGGATTCTACAGAATACCTTGGTTTTATAGTTTAAATGTTCTAAGCAATGTTTACTAGGCTAAAATATATAATCTTGACTAAGTTGAATCAATTAGTATGCGTTCAGGAGTGATTGTTTCAGCTATTAGATTGAAAAGTATTGATAATTTTGGCTATCTAAATAAATATCTCCTTACTTGTCTTGACAAATAAGGTTCATTTTAGAATAGTATCGTCATAGATGCTATTATTCCATAAGTAGGAAGAAAATAGATGATATAAGTTACAATTAATGGAAAAATAGTTGTTGCTATTCAAGATCTTGAATTAAGAAGTTAACTTCTATTCTTCAATTAGGGACTTTAAGGGATGTACTAAATTCTTAAATGTGAGAGTATAATTTAAACTATATCTTCTTACACTTTTAACTAGAACAAAAATAGTTAAACAGAAGTACTTGATTTAATGGGAAGATATATAGATAATACTGCAAATTCCTACTATATGTATTGGCATCGTTAGACCATTCAAGGAATTAGTTATATGAATAATTTTGAACTAAAGAATTCTCCTGGCTATGATAATATAGATATAGCATTAATACATTCTTAGGATTAGCAAATACTTGGCTGTCTTCACAATATTAAGAAAGGAATGTTTGGTTTTCTTTCAGGATCTACTGTTTAAAATAATTTAATTTCATATGCTAAAGTCATTGATTCTGCATAAAATATTGCAAACATTCAGTGCAATGGAATTAAGTATGTAGACTAAGATAATATATTTATGTATTACTCTGCTTAAAGTGGTAATTAATATTTACAGGAGTATTACTAATTTTAGATTAGTTTTTCATATATGGACTTCTAAACATAAACTTACTCATAATAGATTTAAGCAGCAAAATTTTAGCTGATTCCTGAATTACAATTTAAACTGATGCATAGTATTTACATTAAAAAACTAAATACTCTTTTTACTGTTGGCTTAATAAATAAGAATAGTATATATAAAGATTTAGGATTTTTGTAGATTGAAGATGGTCATTATAATAATTTAGACTTTGTTAATTAAGTAAGTGATGAATAATATCATTTCGAGTAGCTAATTTAAGATACTCAACCAATAAAAACGAGAATATAAATGACGAAAATAGAAGATATCTAGTTTGAATCGATCCCATTAATTTTAAGGAAAGATTTGACTACTTACATGCAATAAGTTGATAGTAGTATTTATTCTCAATAATCGACAAAATTAGAGTTACAAAAACTAATTCACACCACCTAAATCCTTAATAACACCAGAGTTTGTTTTGTTGACTAAGCATGCTATCTGTATTATAATGAATATGATATTAAGAATTATTGCGATGATCAACCTTTAGGAAGTTTGAGGTTATCTGTTCTGCTTCAAGATAAAAATGGAATAAGCCTGATTCAAAATGACAATCCTGTTCTTGATTTACATTCATTAGAAATAATTTAAATGTTTGATTCTACTTAGTAAGGGTTATATTAAATGACTATTGAGTATGGATACAATGATAACTCATAGACATTTTGGAAAATACAGACTACTAAATTTAATGTTGTTGTGACCACGAAATGTATGAATAGTTTACATTTAGTTCAAATTGATATATAAAAGTCAATTTAGTATAAATTAGGAAGTTAAGAACTAATAATTCCTATAAATCTACAAATTAACTATTCCACATATTGCTTTGTAATGGAACTTCTTGTTAATGCTTAAACTTAGCTTTAAAAAATTCCAAGCATTTTCAAGATTTAATAATCTGATTTTTAGAATAATTTAATGATATATACTGATAATAAATAGCACACTTAAATTTGGGAACTTTAATTAATTCTTCTTCTAGAACCACTTAATGTAAATGATGAATTAATCACCTACTAAAGAAAATTTGAAATTCTTATATTTGACACAAATCCGCTTTTTACAATTACTAATAGGGCTCCTTACTTTGTTAGCGAGCCTATCAATACGAAAATAAAAAGCGAAATAGTAACAATAATTAAATTTTCAAAGATCATTGATGATGAAGGAGATGATATTAAAATAGTAATAAAGGCAAAAGAAGCAGACATATTCAGCTATTATGACGAAACCAAAATAATTTTTAATCCTCCATTCAATACTAGTGGGATATATCCGATAAAGATTATTCTTTATGACAATAATATAAATCAACCTAAGAAAAGAATCTATTATATAGATATTGAAGTTGAAAAGAAGATACATACTGATGATTAACTAAATGGAGTTTTAGATTTGGTTGAGGGGTTTTAAGATATCTACAATTAAATCTGATTAAAGGGTAAACTGTATTGTAGAATAACTTAAATCTCTAATATTGGGGAGGTGTAAATTTTATTCAGCAAGGAATTATACAAGATTGGTTCCAATAATTTTACAAAAGTTCTAAATGACTCTTTGAGACTTATTGTATAGGGTGAATAAGTTAGTTACTAGATTTTAAATTATAAAGATAGACTCTTGAGTTTGCAAATGCAGTTCAAAGATCTAACCATAATATCTACATATTCTGTAAGCATAAGTTATTTAACTTGAAATTTTAGAATTGGGATTAATTGGATATATACTTTGAAAGAAATTTCCTTTTCATTGACTCTGAACTAAAGAGTATGATTTAAAAAGAATTTAAGATTAGTAAATTGATTCCTCCTCAGGTTTCGAAAGGTAAAATTAAAGTTCTAATTTAACAATTTATAAGAACTACAAGGAATATTGGAAAAATCAGGAAAATCAGCTTCCTTATCCATTCAAAGCATAATGGGCTCAAACTTAGCTATCAATCTTTTTATGTAAATTGCGTATTTTAATATAATTTATAGGAGTTAAAGTTTGTAGTACTTGTGGAATATGATTAAAAGCTTTTAATTAATTACTCATTTACCTCTAATGACACTGAACATACCTGCTAACACTAAGATATTTTTCAGTTTCATATTAGATGTCTCTAGTTTTTAATTCATTTCTGTCCAGAATCTCAATAGCATCATCTTTGCTGATCATGATGATATGCCTGATGAAGACGATTTTTTTAATGTTTACTATGAATAAATGGGATACTCATCTATAAATGCAATTAGAAATCTAGGACCAATATTTTACTTTTTTTGCTTCATGATAATGGTAGCTTTATTTACTCAGACTCTCAATATGATGAATGTTTCTACTAATAGGTAACAATTCTGAAAAATATTAATGCATCATGTAGGGTTACAAAGTACATTTAACTTTTGAATGATTCATTTTATCACTCTTTTATCCTTAGATTTTTCTTGGAATCTCTTATTGAATTAGCTATTTGCTCACTTATACAGCTATATAATGTATTTTAAGTATTTAAACCTTATTTAGATGAAATTCAACACACTAATCAATATTTTGAGCAATTTCATATCAATTTTTTTCCTTGTTTGCTGTTTCCATTTACCAATATTGGGATACTTATATTTTAGATACACAATAAATCTGTAATATAAAAGAAATAAAAAAGATAAGAATCTATAAGATTTTATTCATAGACTTAAAATTTTAGAAGAAGGATTAAAAAAAGAAATGGGAAAAATTAATTCAATGGTTATTATATCTATCAGTAGAAGACTACTCTATTCAACTATTTTAGTTTTATTTTCGAATTTCCAAGGAATATAAGTGCTTTTGCTTGAATAACTAACTTTTATGATGATTTGCTATTTAATATATCATTAGCCATTACAATCTTATTCATCGAATATGTTAGAAATTTTCAATGAAATATGCGTTCTTTCAACTTAATACTTTTTAATTGCATTTACTGATGCTTTTGATCTTGAGTATGAATTTAAGCTTAATTTAGGTTACGGACCGATAAGCTTTTCACTTTTATTTCTAATTATAAACATCCTGTATTTGATTAATTAGAGTATGATGTCTATGTACAAGAAATTCTGTAAAAAATCTTGCCAGACTAAGGCAAGCAATAGAATAATTGAAAATTAAAAACAAATTTAAGAAACATAAAAAGAAAAAGTTTCTACAAAGAACTATAACTAAAATACTTAGTCAAACAAAACAGACTTTTCTTAGGACTTTAAAAATTACATCAAGCAGATGAATGCAAGATAAAAATAATCAATAACTAAAAATTAAAATGAAAATATAATTTAGAACTCTAAGAAGCATTTACCAATATTAAGACAAAAAATAGGTAAGTAGCGAATGTTATAAAGATAAATACTAGAAATGAAATTAACCTATAATTGAAAATCAAGACTGGACTCAGTTTACAAATGAGTAATTCAATCCATTAACAATAGATATAATTTTTATCTACTTTGGGTTGTGTTATTTACTTAAGGTATTTGTTCATATGTTGTAACTATTTAATTTAATAACATTTCATCCAATAGTGACTTATCGGGGTTTTGGGGTTTTGGGG